GAACGCGTTATGTCGCAGCGAGTCTATGTCCCTATTGAGCAATTTTTTCCATATATATATGGTATGTTATGGATGAACCGCAATAAATTTCAATATTTATTTTTCGCATTTCATTTCTGTAAGTTTGTTAAACAACACTTATTGCAAATTTTTGCAACTGCATTAAAATAAATTTGAGTAACATTCATTGTCTTTCATTTTAGACATACCGGGTTCGAATGCATGGCATAAACATTTTTATTATAATTGCTTTTTCCATGTGCAGAGAGTTTCTCCTACTCTACTTGGGTATAACAGACGAAAAGCATGTAGTCGGCTACTGACGTGATGATACTGAGTATTACATGGCGTTCCTATTTCCTCATTATGCAGGAGTGAGATACCCAACCATGACGCTATTTACGGCTGTAGTGAACATTTACTTATCTGTTGACCGACTGAACATCAGAAAAGTGCGCAAAATGTAAATATACATGAACATAAAGTAGTAGACGCTTTTCCAGAGAAAATTTCCAGAAAATCTAGTTACTGGTATAATGGAGCTATTCAAGATTTCACTGGCCTTCACATGTTACCAGCTTATGGCTTGTTTTTGGCAGGTTCAAGCAAAGCAACGTAGAGTTGATTAATTGCCCGAGATAATTCGTGGTTGAGACTAAGCTTATCCCTTGCAGGATGCGAACCCAGCACCTTCGGTAGTCACAGCTTACCTATTAGACAATGTGCCAACATGACATCCGCTCCAAAACGCATGAATCTCTTCTTAAGATATCAGGATAGAACTTGGTTTCAGTAAATGCACCGTGCCTCGTATTAAGAATTGACAGATGTAGAAAAACAGTGGAAAGACGTTATCAACAGGTAAAATGCGCAGCATAGAAGAATGACAATGCTACAAATGCTATTATGTGCTGGAAATTAACTGTATATTGCACGCTAAAATGAAATCATCGATACAGATAATCGATTTTCACCACAATGCTCATTTATCGCCATCAGTAGAGAATCATGACTGAAAAACCAGTCTCGGTTACAAGCAGTTGAACTGGGCTTTCGTGGGCTGAAATAGGCTGAAATGGGATTAAGCGAATTCGTTCGGCTTACGCGTCTCGGCATAGACCAGAGCACAGATATCTGAGAAAGCCTTGGTGTAAGGCCATTGCTTTTCCAGATGATTTTTCACATTTGCGATGGTTTGGGCACGCCTTTGACGTGCTTTCAGAAAGGAAGACGAAGCAGCTTCCACTTGTCCGACTGACCTGCCGAAGACCCATCGGACGGCTAGCACTAACCTAGGCAAGTGAATCGAATGACTCTGTTCTACACACCTGTTATCTTCTGCGATCCTTGGACGCTGAGAGACGTTGGAAGCACTGTCTGTCGAGTCTGGTTCAACGATCGCCGTAATCGAAAGTGACTGCTACCGTTTGAATTTTTGCCTTTTCTATACTTTTATGATGGCGCCATTTCTGTCGTTTTACCTTTCAATAAGTTGGGGAAATGATCCCCATTTTCATGCCGTTAGTCAGGAGTGCCTTAACATAATGGCAGATTTGACCGCAGCTGTATGGGAAGCATAGTTTAAAGTCTTCTATTTCCTTCTCACAGGCGGGTACTTATTATGTATATCTCGCACTGGTGTTGTTGTAAATGGTTTTTCAGCAATTCTATTTAGATATCCTTCATCTGTGTTGCTAAGGGATGATCAAATGTTTTCATCTGTAAAAAACAGTGATTTTATTTATGAGTGAAACTCGATTGCAACCCAGATATCCACAGATTATCGAAATCAATCCAGATTGATTTCCCAAAGGTCTTTCAGAGTGAATCCATCTTTCAAAGTTTCAACCGCAACTCCAAGTTCTTCTGAGAAGGTTGGTCCTTTGGTCTCTCCCTGCATTCCACCGCAAGCAAAGTAAGCCTATGGAAATTTCAATAAGTCGAATGAAGAAACTATCTTTGTTAAATATCGTAACGGTAATCAGATAGCGCAATACAGGTTCTGAAAAAAGTTATCTATTTGCAAATCAACATTCTTTTTCTTAGTGCACAACATAAGACACAAACGCTGTTAATCTGTATGCTGACAATTCCTTACCTCAAATATTGTAAAGGTTGATTTGACTTGATCAGTTGTCATGTTGATTTCTTAGCGAGCCGCAGCGAATTTATTGTTTTCACGTAAACAAGTGCAAGCGATGAGGCGAACGGTGCCATCTCCTAACTTACCAGTCAACTACAAACCAATAACTCCGTGTTTGTATAAGTCAACACTGCAGGAGGGAATCTCTGAGTTACATATTGGAATCTTCGTTCATACTCTGCTGAAAATACGTTCGATTCTCTCTGCCATATACCCGTCGTACACGGTATCAATGTACGGACGAACATAGGCTCTCACGTTCCGAGGAAACGGACCCTTGAGCTGTAGGATGAGTGGTAATTTGATTGTCAGGCCACAATAAATTACAACATATCAGTGTGGGCATGGCAAGTCGGACAGTCATTTTTGTGGAATAGATGTCGCAGAGAATGCTGGTCTGTCGAGTGAATGTCAGACAGGTGATGCTGAATGTTCGTTGTCGCCTGTTTCCTGACAAGTGTTTTGAGTGACAACGAGAGAGGCACTTTCCATGACTGCTTGAAGTCAGTTGTTAGAACTTTGTCGCCTTATACCGTCGCAACTGTCACACGAGACCTCAGCGCAAAGGTGGGTACAGCGTTCGGAGAAAGCACTTGGCCGTCACGGCATTGAAAGAGTGAATAGGAATTACAGCCCTCTGTTAGGTTCATACACAAAAAACAGCTTATTCATCGACGGGCCGTTTCATTTCATAAACGTATTCATCAGGCCATCTGAACGTCTCCAACACCCAAAATTAGACCGCATCCTCATTAACCACAAAGGGCGCAGCTCTTTACTCAAGAATCGAGTCAAACATACGTATCCATTAGGTCTGATCACCATCTGGTCTTAGCTGCAGCTTTTATAAAATTAACCTTGTCCCACCGCTGCCGGCCTACCAAAGCAAGCAGAGAGTTATACTAGTGCCCAGTCAGGAAGTAGCAACGTGAAAGAAGCATAGAAAATATTCAAAGATGCTTTATTTCCTCAGCGAAAAGCGTACCTAGGATTGGGAAGAGTATAGCCGAACTGCTGGGTTACAGGGAAATCCTCATTCCTTAGAGGGCAAGGAAATCAACAGTGAAAAAGTACTCGAAGGCAGCTTATTGCCATCTTGTTCATGCAGTCAGCGAGAACTACAAATGAGATACGGAACTTTAGTTGTTTGGGAAAATCAGGAACATTGAAAAGTCAGCCAGAAATAGTGAATAACAAACAGCGTTAAAAAGAGCCAATGATTGTTCTTTAAGCGAAAGAGTCGGTCTGCTATCTAAAGGACTCTAATGGTGTCCCGTTGGCAGGGTAGAACGAACGCCTCGAAAGACTGGTTGAGTATTTCCAACATCTGCTCAACGACTGCCTTTCAGATTCTTCTTTTCCGACCGTCAGTTCCTCGACGATATCAGAGGGTAGCATAGATGCACTAATGAAACTAGAAATCGATAAAGCCTTGCCACGCCTCAAGGTAAAGATGAGCTGTTTGCCTAGATTTAATTCTTCCGGAGGTAATTAACTATGATGCAACGGTAATAGTTAGCAATGCTTCCTACCATGTTTCATCAAATGTACATTTATAGACTTTTCTTAGAAGTACGGAGGTGTGCAATCCAATGAGGGAATGTTTCAGTTATCATGGTATCATGCTACTGTCAAATCTAGGGAAACGCTTCTGCTGGACTAACCTCGAAAGATTCAGGCAGTCAAGTGATGAGACCACTTCGCCAAAATCGAACAAACTTCCAGGCGGGGTAGTCCTATACTGGGCAAATTTTCCGCAGCATTATTGAGCAACGAATTCAGTTGCCTTCATTCACCAGTTTCCTCGACTTTAAGGCTGCACTTGATTCGCCATGTCATCTCACGATGAAAAAAGTCTTGAAATGCTATGGAATACCTCAACACATAGTTTCTATTTTGGGAAAAATATATGCATGAATCGTGTCTTCTGTCAAAGTTGAAAGAAAGGTATCTGAGTGATTCCCTATTGACTGTAGAATTCGCCACAGAGACACGCTTTTGACTTGCTATTCAGCATTGTTCGATACTTTCTTTTTCGAAACAGTACCGATTCTAACAAATATAAAGGCTTCATTTTAGAAGGGAGACGTAGTTCAAGATACCCCGCAAGATAACTTACTGACCTCGAGTACGCAGATGATATTGTCCTGGTGAGCAGTACGGGAAACAAACCCTGCCACTTGACGACTTCCATATGCAACACAGGTACGAAAGCCAGATTCATCCTTAACGCCCGGAAGTCACAGGTTGTGAGATTCATCCGACACAGCTCACTTACTATTGGAACAATGAGGTGAGGTGCTTCAGGAGATTTACTAATTTAAGTATCTCGACTCTAACATCACTAATGATGGCGCTATCCAGCCAGAAGGAAATGGGAGATCGTCCTGGCCTCGAACGCTTTCGGGAACTTGTCCAATATTTCGGCTTAAAATTAAGCTACTCTTTCAGCCAATTACGCTACTAAAATTTGCTTGCACTATATGTCTATCAAGTGAGTGTTGCTGTACGGCACGAAGGCAGTCTTATTAAAGGTGCAAGAAAGACATTTAAGCTGCCTACGACGACGATGACTTTGGTGCATAATGAGGGTCAAATGGCAGGACCACCTAGGGAATGGCTTTATTCGCTTCCAGACGCAAAGGACTTTATTTGAGGTGAAGAGGTTTTTGCTCTATTAGACAAACTAGTTTAAGGCACACCATTTACCATAGCTCATGAGCTACTCGCATTTGAGTCGAAGCACGGCAGACGTAAATCAAAAGGTCATCATGCAGAGCAAAGAAGTGGCAGATCTGCTTTCGGGGAGGAATATTTCCTTCTGTGATGCAATGACCAATGCCTTATAGCAAAAGTGCTGCAATGCTACGAATGCACAGCGGATATCTCAAACCAGAAACGTTTTGATTATGCAAACGGCTTAAGATGATGATCTCAAGATAAATTAGCAGCTGCACTGAAATCAGGTAAACGGAATATATGCTTACTGCTGAAGAATGACTAATACAAATTATACCTGCAAATTCAGTGGCGTTATGATTCCCAACTTATTTTTTATAGCAGTAAAACGTACTCATTTAATCCAGTTCCTCATCTTACCACGAAAGCTAAATTTAGTCCTTGTCGAAAAATTTGTAGACGAACTGACGTTTGCAAACGATGGATACTGAACCTGAAAATCATTATTACTGATCCTGATAACGTTGCAGGATTCGCTACTGTATCATACTGAAATTCATCACCGCAGCTGTCTCACACCTTAGATCAGTTAAGATGAAGTTATTATAGCAGGAATCGAGAGAACAAGATCGAAAATAACTGCAAGAACAGTTTGCGAATAAATATTCTGTTTATTACTGTATCCTGAATGTTTGCTGCCAGCCGTGATCTATATAACTGTTAACGCCAATTTTGAAGTACAGAAATTATAATTATAATTATAACCCTAATTTTTTATACCTTAGAAAATAACATTTGCATTTCCGTAGTAATACTCTATTTTAAGCATTTTAAACAGTCTTTCGATATTTAGCAACTATATCGTTGTATTTCAATATAATTTGCAGCTCTTTTACCGTTAGCGCGTCGGCGCGGCTTATTTCCGCATCCACCTCGACGTCTTCATCAACTGATGTCTCCAGATTTGTCGGTTTCACAGCATACTATAATGAAAAATCAGAAGCGGTTGCAATTGCCATTTGTAGGTGTACAAACGTATGGATATACAAAGTTGCTAAATTACTATTACATTATTCTGAAAATTTCAGATATAGGGTTAGGACAATATTTAATTCGGCTCAACCTTATTTTCCAAGCTTAATAATTCATAATGACAGCAATATGAATTCTTCCATGATTTAGGTTTGAAATGAACAGATTTCTGGGTCAGGAATCAGAAAATAAAGGGAAAGTATTCTCTGACGTTCAAGAGCAGATTTCCAACTCCGCTGATAAACGTAATCCTTTAACTACTGATATTGTATTTACACGGCGAAAACTGTTAAGTAGAGTTTGCTACTTTACAACGATGGTGCAGCAGTGTGAGATGGTTGCAGTTCATTACGTCAGGTTGTACCGCAGTAGCGTACATTACATCTCTTTAAATCGCCTGGGGGGGACAATTCAAGCCATGGCTCAGTGGTACTTTAGCGCCTAAAGTGAATTGGACCCAAGGCCGCTTTACTGAATTGGTCTGAACAAGATATTGTCCTGCGGAATTGGAAGGCTGCCATTCTTGGAACATGAGGGCATCCATTTCTTTTCTTCTCTGCAGATTTTATCAATAGATAGTGGCAGTTAAGTTGTTGCTGGAACAATTTCTTGTTCAGTCCAAATTAGTGAAGCGAGGAGACTCTGCCTTTCATCTTACGCGCTGCAGGTGGTTAAATGCTGTGGAGTCAATGCCTGCTTAAAATAGCATCCAAAGCAAGTAGGAGAAACCCATTGATGTTGAAAGCTAACAGTTTATTGTTGTTCAGCTTTTACCTCAATATTAGTTTTTAATTTACCGAATCCACAAGACGTGAGTTGACAATTGGATGTACTTTGTCAAGTTTTTGTTCAGCATTTGCTGGGTAGATAGTTTATGGAATCCAGCAAAATGACAATTGCTGTTTATTTAAAATTTAACGGGGCACATTATTCTGTTTTTGAAAAGATGCACCATCTTAATCCTGGCTTGATGATAGAGTGTCTATGAGGTCGGCTTCGAACTCCAGAGGTGCTGAGATCGATTCTGTCGCGTTTGTCTTAACCACAAATTCAATTGAGCATTGAATTTGCCACACGTTGCTTCAGACCGGCTTTTTCAGTCGGTAGAGCTTCTCACTGAAAACCGGTTGAGAGATGAAAGCCCCTTGAAAAGGCAACAGGAGACTACGTACTATGCTTATTACATAGCTGCTTTCGACATTCCTTTTAAATTATACTCGTAGCTGATGAAACGGAAGTGGCGATCAGTGTCCCACCAATAGATTCATGAAAAGAAGGTATTAACAGTGAGCTAATCATGAAAGTGAAACAAAGATCGAAATTTCAACGGAATTTATGGTGGCATTATTGCAGTCGCAGCAATCAAGCTTCAATTATTGGCATAAAAATTCCAAAAGTTAATAAATACTTTTGTAATATCCTCGGTTTACACAATTCTAACTTAAAAAGTGAAATCAAACATGACTCACGGTGTCTTTTACGAATTCGATGCCAAATATCGGGTTTGCATTATATGCAGCAGCGATGTTGTTTATTTCTTTCTCTAGTTCTTCGAGCCTCTCTTTCGGATCCACCCTGAAACCAAAAACAAAATCTCCACTCTAAAATTATAATTCATATTATAATAAACCAGGATTATTATTGAAATTCAACTAACCTGCTGTGATGTCTCGATTACCAAGGCCGTTCCAAATTTTGATTCCTTTTTCCCGCAGTATTTCTTAACATCAGCTGTAGGAAA